TGAGTCAGCATGTGCCCTGCGGATAACTGCAGCACAGCATCCTTGCGTTCTTCCTCTAACCAGCTCTACGACTTCCTGCTATCAGCTGGGTTTACAGCAATTCAATTCAAATATGTGGAGCCAGACCTACAGTGCCGATGGGCGGGATGCCCAACAGGGTTGCCTGGTGTCCCTGGACACCGGACCAGGCCCTTCCTTGGTCAGCCAAAGGAAGAGGATGCAGAGAGAGGGCCTGGGACTTGGTCACTTCTTCAAGGTCCAATTCCTGACCCTGTTGCATTGGAATCAAGTTTCCAACATGAGGACTTTGGAGGTCAAACACAAACCAGCGGTCAAGCCCACTTCCATTGGTTTTCTCGCTTCGTTCATGTGTCAGCTCGTGCCCTACAAATGGCAGCTGGAGTCCCACTGTGCGTGTGCACATGTATGCCTTCAAACGCCAGAGGTGAACCTAGAGTATCCTTACCATTTCTTGGTGGCCAGAAGAGAGCACCGGATCCCTCGAAACTGGAGTGATAGATGGTTGTGAGCCACCACCTGATGTGGGTGCTGAGAACTGAACCTGAGTTCTCTGCGAGAGTGGCCAGTGCTCTTAACCATGGAGCCATCTCTCCAGCCCCACCTTGCTTTTGGACACAGGGTTTCTCTCACTGGCCTGCAGCTCACTACCAGTGAGCCCCAGGGATCTGCCTGTCTCTGCCTCTCCAGCTCTGAGATGACAAACATGCAGCACACACTTGGCTCTGAGGATCTAACTCAGGTCTTCATGCCATATAGCAAGCAGTACTCCTGCTGAGCCATCTCCCGGCCCCATCTCCAGTCCCCTGCTGAGATCTTGCAGTGACTCCCCACTCTGTTCAGACCCTTGCCATGACCATCTGAGTCTCCCCATTCTCTGGCTCCTGCTTACTTGCGAATCCCTAGGACTTCCTCCTGCCCCCTTCTTCCAGGCCTCTGGAGTCTGCTACAGAGACTCATTGGCATTCCCTGAAGATACCAGAATCCATCCCACTCAAGGATCTGTGCTGCGGCTGTGCCCTCTGCCTGAACTCATCTTCCCACTTGTCTTTACACGGCTGATTGCTTTTCATCCTTCAGGCTTCACATGAGCGTTCCTGCAGAGGAGCCGCTTCGGAATGCCTCCCACTCCCTGCTCTGGTTTCTCTCTATTCCCGCACACCAGGTTCCTTTGTAGCATCACTGCACTCATTCACAGTCCTGTTTATTAGTGTTCTGATTGGTCACTGGTCTTTCTGACCCCAATGTAACTTCCAGGAGGGAACACAACTGATCCGGCTGAATTGAAGCAAAATAAATAAAAACTGACAGTGGGGGACAAAGGACTGAAACGAGGCTTCCCAAAATAACACATTTGAAACCTTGGCTATGTTTTACCTGAGTTTTCTGAATCGGATCAGCTAGGATGCTTAATGAACTACAAATTTGTCACCTAAATGTTCATCCTGCTCTCATTTTGATTCCCTTCTCTTCACTCCATTAGTCACCACGACCGGCTGCTTTCTTCAGCTGACTCAACACTGTGTCTCTCTCCCTTCCCTCAGCGCTAAGTCCTGGCACTCCAGGTGATGTCCACATCCCTGCGGCGGCCACAGCGGAGCCTCCTGCTGCTCTCCCCACTGAGCCGTTTCCACTTATCCCGTTCCTGACAGAAGCGTCTTCTCACATCACTGTCACCTTCATTTTACTTTTTAAAAATCCATGTTCTGGGCCGGGTGTGGTGGCGCAGGCCTTTAATCACAGCACTTGGGAGGCAGAGGCAGGTGGATCTCTGTGAGTTCAAGGCCAGCCTGGTCTACATAGTGAGTTCCAGGACAGCTGTCTCAAAAAAAAAATCCATGTTCTATCTTATTTTATCAGGCACAAAATCCTCAAAAACAAAATTACATTCAGCAGCATCTCCTCACCCAATGCAGCCATTAGCTGGTCCCTTAAATGAGTCCTCTGGTCTACGTGGATGCTGAGCTTTCCGTCCCCAAACCAAGCCAAGCGGATGACTTTCTCCTATCATAGACCAGGCGGCTTTTCCCTTCACCTTCGTAAACCAGAGGCTTTCTTCAAAGCACATTTCACCTCCGACTTCACTCAGGCCTCTCAGCTCCTGCCCCTGCCCTCCCTTCTTCCCCAGGTCTAACCGCAGTCCAATCACGACTCCATGCGACATCTGACTACACAGGACCTGGTTCTCTATAGCTGGTTCTGATGTGCCCGTCTTGTCTCTGCAGTAGGACTGCCAGCAGGGACTGTGTCCTACTTATTCTCCCACAGCAGCAAAAGTGGCATGAGCCACTTACACCGGCACCAGCTTAGAGGACCCTCGGGATGGATCATTCCAGCGCAAAACACCTATCCATGTGACCTGCCGAACCCTGCCACCTCGCTCCTACACCCCCCTGCATGGCTCCCCATGCTTGGGTGAACTGCTGTCATTCCACATGCCTGGAACAACCACGAATTCCCTTCCAGTCTCAGGACAACACAAAACCTTCTAACCAAAGGCAAGCATGCTTTGGCCCTCCCTCCCCCACTTGCTTCCCCTAATAGCCTGTCATTAAACACTTCACTTACAGCACCTGACATGCTGCACTGCACATGCTAATCTGCCTACCAACCTCCCAGGCTAACTACTATGCAACTTGGGGGTCAAGGAATTTGGCTTTTTTATTTTTTAATGTGTATGAGAGTATATTTCCTGCATGTATGTAAGTGCACTCATGTCATGCAATGCCCACAGAAGTCAAAAGAGAGCATTGGATCATCTGGACCTGAAGTTAGCTGTTCATGTTGTTAGCTGCCATGTGAGTTCTGAGAACTGAACCCGGGTCCTCTGGAGGAGCAGCCAGTGCTCCTAACTACTCCAGCCCCCAAGGAATTTGACTTTCATCTTTATAGTAGAGTAACGGTATTTTACTGTCTATTGAGCAAATAAATGAACAAACAAGCTGGTATTACAATCTCTGAAAGACCTCTGAGTTTAGTGTCATAGATATCAATCCTGTGTTACTAACATCCACTATGCCAGAGCTCACACCGCTTAGAATGCCTATTTATTTTTAATTCCAAAATTAACTCTCAAGCACCCACTATAGTTCAGATACTGGAGGATTTAGGGGGAAAAAATCAAACTGATACAAATCCCTAAGTCCATAGACTTTGCATCTTACTAGCAGAGTGAGGGGCTCAGGGGCTGGGGCTTTTGCTGTGACTAAGCTGGAGTCAGTCTCAGTGACGGTGATGGTATGAGGTGATGTTGGTTTGGACCAAAACAGTGGCAGTTAGAAAGGTGAGCAGTCCATGTGGCCAGTCAACACTGCTGACTTATGGGCTAGAAGGAAGACATGAACCAACAAGGAGAAAAGAATCACCGTGGAGGGACTACAGTCTGCGGAGCTATGGAATAAAACTTGAGGTAAGTTTGAAGGCTACGATTTCAGAAAGGATAAATGTGTATTAAATAATTCTCTATAGCTGTGTTTTAAAGTTTAATATGGTACTTTATATAATTAACCTTCCCCTGGGCATAGTTCACATGAATAAGTTGTTTGGCTGTTGATTTTTAAGTAAACTGATAAAGTAAAATAGACAAATCTTGGACACGTGCAACCTGCATAGCTCCATGAAGAATTGCCTGTACTGGGCACTCTATAAAAGACACTGCAAGTTACTTCCCCAAACTCTCCCCAAATTCTGGTTTCAAAAATAACCAAAGCAATGGATGGCAGGTTACAACCCACATGACTGATAGGCACCTAATGCTCACAGGAGTTTTGGCATTAGTAACTTTGATAAATTGGTCTTTGAGTTTATGCAGATTCAGAATTTGGATGTCAGGATGATACTTATGAAAGAAGTCGATGTTCTAACTCTTAACCTAATCCAAGGTCAGAGGAGAGGGCCTAGACCTAGAAATAAAAGATCACCAAGTAAAGGTCCCCGTGGGTGACTCAGAATGATTATACCACCTAAGGCTACAAACTGAGATGGAGCCCTGGAGACTGGGCCATCAAAAAAGTAACCCAAATAATCAGCTACTGTGTTTAATTGCTATAATTTGGGGTAAAGCTGGTAATAATGGTTTGTTTCTTTTCATGTATTGAAGTATAGGTTTGTGAAACTAACTGAATTTTGAGATTTTTAAAAAAATGAGACTGTTTATAAACATATGGTACAGAACTCTGCATAATGACTGTGTCTCTTGTTAAGTAATTTAGTGGAGGTCATGATGAGTTACAATGTGAACTTCAGAGTTTTCCTTGGGCAGAAACAAACCATTCTCACTTGGTCTGGGAGGTTTGTTTCTTCTTCTTCTCCTCCCCCTCCCCCTCCCCCTCCTCCTCCTTCTTCTTCTTTCCCTGCCCCTGCTTGCAGACTCTACATAGTTTACACAATAAATAGTTGTTTCCAGAGGAGAAAGGGCCAATACGTCTGTCAGATGGAACCTATTATTATGGTTAGAAATCAAGGTTCCATTCTTCCAGATTTTCACAGCCACACAACTTTCGATCCAGCTGATGGAAATGGAGACACTTCTTGACCTCCTAACAATGGCAAAAATCAAGACGAGAAAGCATTTAGTTAGTGTACCGCAAAGTGGTCAAAACTATATCAACTCCAGTGGAATCATACAGCAGGACACCACAAACACCTGTCAGAGGAAGAGTTTTCACCAAGAACTCATCCACAATACATACATATACACATTTGTATGTATAAGTATATATGTATGTGTGTATACATGTATGTACCATGTGCATGTGTGCTCAACTCCACATTTTGAACAAATAACTATTTCATTATCATCCCTCCAGGAGTCAAACTTCTAATCCTCCTTTTCAAAAATCATTGTGTGATAATGCACTTTTCTGACCCCAGTAGACTACTTTGGCCAATTGTATAAAGAAAATTCAAACAAATGAATTTCAGGTCACAAACTACAGCAAAAATAAAACACAAAATAAGTTGTCTCCTACCTATAGTTGTAATAACAGTGCCAGCAAAGAAGAAAGAGCTTCCCAAGTCCCAGTGGCTGATTTGATTGGAGGTGTTTCCTAAGGGGATAATCCCCGCATTGATTGCTGCCACTATTTGCTGCAAGTTTAAAAAGAAATTGATCAGTACATGTCAATCACACAGAGGCATCAAACATCTCTATGCCCAGAAAGACAAATTAGACAAAATAATCCAGTTTCAGTCTAATTAACTGCTAATAGTGTATGTTTAGTATCTCCACTGGCATATTTAGTGCTGTACTTGAAATAACAGCTAAGTACGGCAATGTTCTCTAAAACATCAAAGATTTACTGTATATTTAAGTATCGGATTGTAAAATATGGCTTAAATGATATATAATAGATTCATTAACAAAGTTTTTCCAACATATTCATTATTTCAAATGTTAGATATATGCCTCCATGTCTGGGTTGTCTGTAAGTGCAGAAAGCAAATGTCAAAAGATCTAAAAAAAAAAAAAAAGCAGATTAATCTGGAAAGAAAAGGAATATAACAATCCATTACTGAGCTCATGCCCTTTGGATGCCTTGAATCTCAACAGATTCTACTACGTTTTATGGCAATCACCGAAGGTTGTCATCTGCAGTGTTGATGCAGGGACCACAGATCTGTACAGTCCTTGTGTATGGGTCCTGAGGGGTAGGCTGAAAGGTGACATTACAATCCTCTCTTCAACTGTCAGGCAGTGTGGAGGTGACAGAGCAGAGATACGGAAACACAAAGACGTGAGAGTCCACCACAAGGAAACATGCAGTGGAAGAGGAGCAGATGGGTGCCAGGGTGGCAGGTTTCTACGAGCCTGTGGAGATCTTCAGTGCTGAATGTTAAGACTTTCAAACTGGGAAGAGTATCATGTGATAGGTAAGGAAACTAAAGGTCGAGAGAAAGGTGACTTGTTCAAAGTGGTCGTGTTTACTGGCAATAGAAATAAATAGAAAATAATAATGTACACTCTGGAAATGGACAGCCTGCTCAGCCACAGGCTGGAAGAAAGAAAGCAGCAAATGACCAAGAGCGGAGGTGGAATCTCAAAACTCATTTCACAGCTGACTCTAATATCCGATCTATGAGTTCAAACTTCAATAGTTCAGTTGGATTGTATTGTTTGTATTTGCTGCACCAGTAAGGGATGTTCATTGTAAAACAAAATTGGGACAATGAGGCAAGACAGTAAAAAGGTGAAAGATTTACGTTTTCAGAATCCAGACACCATCTGTTTAGGTATTAGGTTCTACACACCTGACGTTTTGTTATAGGACCCTGTTTTCGTTTTGACATAACATTGCTCTGTAGCCGTCTAGCCTCAGACTCTCAATCCTGCCTCAGCCTCCCTGCTGGAGTCACAGGCACCACATCTACTTCAATGTACTTTTTACATAGTTGGGTTCTTAAGTGATACCAAATGTTTGATTTTCCATTCTTACTTAATTATACTTAATCATAACTACATGATGACCAAATACAAAAGTGCATATTAAGTAATCTGTTAATTATTTAATCATTTATTTTCTACTAATATTAATGCAGTTGTCATTTCTCTTTACCAAATTCACTTTATCACAGTCTAGGACATAGACACACATGTCATTACAAAACACTCTTTTGTGATTAACTTTGTGTATAAATACTCTCTTACTTCTAAACATTTCCACTTGAGAAACTGCTAGAAATAAATTTGCCACATTAAAAATTATGGATATTTCAAAATACTGGATCGAGAGCAGCCACTTGCTATCCAGAAGGTTCTGTTTACAACTGTCTCCAACAACACAAAAATGCTCCGTCACACCTCTAAAACTAATAACATTTATCTTTACTGGACTAATAAATGTTTGCATGTATATGTATTCCTCACTGTAAATAACACTGGATACTAGCATTTTATCTTAAGTGGACCAAAAAGACACTACAGATACATACACGTACCTAGCATGCAATGAAACTGGTTTTGAGGCCGCTGATGCTACTTATCTGCCTCTAGTTCAGGTTTAGTACCAGATGACTCAGCCCCCCCTTCATTATCAAGCTTTTCAAATATGTTCTACCCAGCTTGGCAGAGCAGGCCTGTGATCCCAGTTGTTCCTGAGGCTAAGGCAAGACAATTTGGGAGTTCAAGGCCTGCCTGAGCTAAGGCATGAATTCAAAGGGAGCCTGGGTAAAGAAGCAAACCCTTGTCTCAAAACTAAGAAACAAAACAAGGAAAAGGGGAGGGAGGGGGATTGGGATTGCAGCTCAGTAGCAGGGTGTTTGCTGAGCATACACTAAGTCTTGAATTCCATCCCCAACAGTGTGGACACACACACACACACACACACACACACATATTACATGTACATATATACACACACATACACAAGTTTTTCAGTTATTACCCTGTTATTCTTACATCAACTTTAGAGTCATTTAGTTTGTTTTTATACAAATTTTCATTTTCACAGGTTCAACATGTTCCAAATATTAGCCAGGCATGGCTTCAGTAGAGGCAGAGAGACTGAGAGAGTTCAAGGCCAACCTAGCTACACAGGGAGACCTTGTTGCCTGTGTGCTTCTGCTCTGTGTTCTCGTTCTCTCCCCCACTCCCTCCCTCCACCCCTCAACACATTCACATATTAGGAATATATGAGATCCATAAAAAGGAAAATTAACAGTATTGTAATAGTCAAACTTCCTAACAAATCTTTATCTTTACCTTAAATCTTTACCACATTCTTTGTAATATACCCAGAGTTCTGGCAACACATTCCACATAAACCTATACACATTTACTTTTAGAGAATTTACTTTTTTCCATTTCAAATTAATATCTGTTAACTGATATTGAATACACACAAATATTTCTCATATTATGAATTATCAATTCATGATTTTTTGAAATCTCAAAACCTCTTTATGGTCTCATAACTTATTGAAGAAATCAAAGAGCCTTTGTTTATTTAGATTATAAGTATTAATATTTACTGTACATCTGAAATTTTCATTTTAAAAGTTTTTGGCTGATTCACATAAAAATATCAAGAAGGCCATGTGCATTAACATAACTAGCTTGTTTTTATTTTAAAAGCTTACTGCTTTATAAAAAATGTGTAGAGAGAAGAAGGTCATTTTTATAAATTTCTAAATACCTTTAAGATCTGGCTTAAAACCATACATCTATATCCTAATATTGGGATAACCCATCACATCATCTCTAGAAAACTCCACGATACATTAACAAAAGAAGCAGACAGACAAAACACTTTGGTGTTATAAAGAAGATCACTTTAGAGTTTGAAGAGATGGTTCAGCGGTAAAGAACATGTGCTGCTCTTTCAGGGGACCAGAGATCAGTTCTGAGCACCCACATCTATTCACAATCACTCTATTCACTCCAGCTCCCAGGGACCTGACACCCTCTTCTGGATTCCATGGGTACTTGCACTCACACATGCACATATCCACATATATACAAACAAATCATACTTTTTAAAGAAAGAAAATTTCTCTAACTTGCCATAGCCCTGAGAGGGTCTTACTGACTGTTTTGAGAACCACTGCCCAACATGGAGCCCACTGTTTTTGTTTGTTCTGTTCTATTTTCTCCCTAGAGAGAAGCTTGCTTGCTGTTCCTAGATTTTAATAGCAGTGTTTTCTTGCTTTTCATCATTTACATACTGGTAAGAATTCCCACAGAAATGCTAAACTAAAAAAAAATTAGAGAAATCTCTCTGTTTTTCTCCCATAAAACCAATTGAATATTTTATATTTTGAGTTCTTAAATATATTGCATATTGACAAGCAAATGTTACTTAATTAAGTACATCATGAGAGGAGTCAAGTACAAAGAGCATAAAACCCAAAACGAATGCTGGAGAGAGGGCGCAGTGGTTAAGAGCACATGCTGCTCTTGCAGAGGACCCAAGTCCAGTTCCCAGCACCTACATGGCAGCTCACAACTGCCTGTAACTCCAGCTCCAGTGGATGCAACACCCTCTCTTGGCTGTGTGGAAACCATCACTCATGTACAAACCCACATATAGAAGCATATACACCTAATTTCAAAATCAAAATCAATCTTAAAAATCTTCTTGTAGACCAGGCTGGCCTCAAACTCATGATCCTCCTGCCTCTGCCTCTTCAGGATATCCTACTGGCGTGCACCACCACAACATCTTTAAAAGTGTTCAAGATCATTAGTAATTAGGGAAATGCAAATTAAAACCACTTTAAAATTTCATGTTACCCCAGTCAGACTGGCTAAGATCAAGCGAACAAATGATACTGAATGTTGGAGAGGATGTGGGGAAAGGGGAACGCTCATTCACTGCCGGTGGGGCTGCAAACTTGTTCAACCCCTATGGAAAGCAGTGTGGAGAACTCTTAAAAAACTAGAAATGAACTTACCATTTGACCCAGTTATACCACTCCTTGGTATAAACCCAAAGGACTCACCTATTGCAGAGACACTTGTACATCCATGTTTGCTGCTGCTCTTTTCACAATAGCTAAGAGATGGAAGCAACCTAAGTGCCCCTTGACTGATGAGTGGTTAACAAAATTGTGCTATATTTACACAATGGAGTTGTATTCAGCAGTAAAGAAAGATGAAATAATGAAATTTGCAGGTAAATGGATGGATCTAGAAACTGTTACACTAAGTGAAGTAACACAGACTCAGAAAAATAAGACGTATGTTCTCCCTCATATGTGTATCCTAGCACCAAATCCTTATAAGTGAGTGCATATCCTGACGTAACTGCAGGGACCAGGAAAATGGAAAAGAACCAGGGAGGTAAAGGGAAAGAGGAACTGGAGGGAGAAGAACAGTAGGAGACAGGTGTTACTAAGGGAGAAATGGGTAAAATGGGGGTAGTTAAATGGGACGGGGAGGAGGAGGGCTACACAAGGAGCTATAAGGATAAAGGGGAGAAGGTACTCAAGACAGTACCTTACGACGGTGGGACCAGAGCAGACAGGAACTATCAAGGGAGAAATGGGGAAGATTGGACACTTTGAGGAGGGTGGAGAGGGAGGATGAGACAGGGAGAAAGAGAGATAAACAGTGCCTAGCTAGTATAAAAAACCAGAGGAAATCGTATTAG